GGTACATACTGTTAGAAATGTATGCACGTGTGTACTGCAAGATACACACATAAATGTTTATTATAGCTTTATTTTTAATAGCCAAGACTGGAAACAGCCCAAATAACCATTGTTAGTAGAAAGCATAAATAAGTTTTGTTGTATTTATACAATAATGTAACAGTGAAAAAAACTGAACTACAAATACCTGGAAATTAGGGATGGATTTCACACCCATAATATTAACAGGAAAGAAGCCAGACACAAAAGTTTATTCATTGTATATTTGCATTTACACAAAGTTTGAAAACAGGCAGAACTAAAATATAATGTTTAAGGATATGTCCCTTGGTAATAAAACTAAGGAAAAGCAAGAAAGTAGTTCCATAAACAATAGGATTATGATTGCCTTGTGGGGAAAGGACGTGGAGGGAGGGCATCACAACTGAGAAAGATGATATAAGGGGGCTTCTGAAGGAGTTGAGGGGGTTCTGTTTCTTGACTTAGGTAGTAATTATACAGGTGTTTGTCTTATAATAATTCATTGTTATGCATTTGTTTATTGCACTTTTTATTTTTTTATAAAAAATGTTTTGCAAGTATATGTAAAGGATACCTGTTTTCCTTTGCTCTGATTCCATATCCACACCAACATCCTTTGGATTACTTATCTATGTTTCCATCTGTTTTTGTCCTGAAGAAGATAATTTTCCAAAAAAATAAAAGGAGTCATTTGGGTAATTAGAAAACAAGACAAATCCCAAAACAAATTAATATATTGCATACATATTTTACCTTATTTTTTTGTGATAATAGCTGACTTTTTTTATCTCAAAAGGTCAGACAAGATTGAGAGTAGTCTGTGTGCATTAACTCATTTAGTCATAACAATAATCTTATAATTTGGTAATACTGTTATCTTCCCTTAAAAGCTGTGGGAATTGAAGCCAAGCAGTGAAATTAAGGTACAGGTCTAAGAACACAATTAATTAAAACCCCAGTCTGTCTGATACAGATATCAGTACCTTAACCACATGTCATACTGCATTATACTAACTCAAAAGTATGGTTACCATGTAATCAGTCAGCAATCACTTGCAGATTAATGACCTGACCTAATTTCATATCTGTCTGACAGAGGACCGTGATAAATTCACCACGATAACATGACTTAGTGGCTCCTAGCACCTGTTAATCAGTCTTCCTCTCATACACCCTGACATTCTTCAACACCATGGCTCAGGCCTCTATTCCTGCACATATTCGATAGCATTGTAACTAAACATCTACATGCCTACCACTCCAGATGTACACTAAAATCCCTGAAAGTCTTCTGTGTCCTCTTATTTTTATTTCTCAAGTTTAACACAGTACCTAGCATGCATTAAGTGTTCAATAAGTGCTTGTTAGCTTGAAAAGAACAAATACTGGAAAAAATACACATCTCACAAACAGGCAGTTACTACCATAATTTTATTTGAAAAATACCCTAAAATGTGTTTTCATGCAAATAGGCAGACTTCTGTTGCTATTTGAAAATGTGCTAAAATCTTTGCAAAGGATTCTTTCTCAACATGAGCCATAACATGCACATTGTTGAGACATTCTTCAGAAAGCCCAGCTTTTCTGAAAGTGCCTGAGCTTTGTGGTTTGTAATGCGTTAAATAGGTTGTTTTCAAAACTGTTAAAAGATAAGGTACCGGATGGATAATCAGCATCCCAGCTACTCTGAGCAAAACTAGTTTTATTCTGTCTTCTGGGAATAATAAACATGAAAATTGTTTCTAAATTAAATGCATCTATATTGTAATTGAAAAGCATTTTACTATTCCCAGGTAATTTAAGAGATGACTCTTGATTTCTTGTTCAAACAACCATTATTATATCAAACAATTAAAGAAGTTGTTTTTTTGGTGTCTAGATACAATGATATATGTAATGAATTTCCTGCCAGTTCTGCTTTTTAAGGTTTGAACATGATTAATCAATATCTTGGTTAAGGGTTGCCATATATGTATTAAAATAAAATATAATACTCGTAACCTTAAAATTATACAGAATCTATACAGTTTTTTATAAGATTTATTTATTTACTTATTTTTTAGAGTGGGGAAGAGAAGGAGCACAGGGGGCAGGGACAGAAGGAGAGGAAGAGAGAGAAAATCTCAAACAAACGAGCCCAATGCGGGGCTTGATCTCAAGACCCTGAGATCATGACCTGAGCTGAAATGAAGAGTCAGAGGCTTAAACGACTAAGCCACCCAGGCACCCCTATACAACATGTTTTAAACATAATTCAGAAGAGATTTCCAAATTTCTCCATGCTTCTCTATTACCATTTTGATAACTATTTTTCATTTTGCCCAGTAAAACTCATCATTAATACTTTAGAATTCATAGAATAATTAGATAATAAATTAGAATTCTAGTTAATATAGTTTGATTGTGGACACATTTACTCAAATAAAAGCTGTGAAAAATGCCCAAGGTCACTTATTGTAAAAACCAAAAAATGTTGATTTTATTTGATAGGAAGGCAGTTGTTTCTATGGGAGAGTTGAACACTTGTTTTTGCTTAGACTTAGAACAACTGGTAACAGGAACTGACAGGGTTCCACTTTCAGTCCACTCTGCTCTTAAAATATGAAAAACACATAAAATCAATTAAAAACTATCTTATTTTCTTATATTTTTCCTATCAACCAATCATTTACTTCTAGGTCTTCTCACTTAAGGACTTTTGCCTTCACCTGGGATTAAATATATTATTAGTACCATAAGACTCAGATGACCCTTAATAATGGACTGGAGTGGGTGGTATACTTTAAGCAAAGGAAAACACAGAAGAAAATTTGTATATGATTTTGTTTTAGCCCAATCCTTGTTTAAATTAGTAGGGAGATGTCTGGAGGCCATGGGTCATAGGTATAAAACAAAGGACACACCATGGCTATCACAGTTCTGCTATAATTTTGTGATTATTTATCTTAACCTGTTATAATTTTATTTCTTTTAAATATTGGAGAGGAGAGGATGAGAAATGAAAACACAATTTCTTCTTGGCCTTATATCCTTGAGGTCAGCCTTACCTAGATACACAGGATTATGGATATTGCCTTCCTTCCTTTCTTCCTCCCACAAATATTTATTGATGCCTACTATGTATCTGATTCTGGGTTAGATGTCTGGAATACTCGGAGACAAAACAATAAAAAGCCCTTACCTTACAGATGTTGGCGGGGATGCGGAGAAAGGGGAACCCTCCTACACTGTTGGTGGGAATGCAAGCTGGTGCAGCCACTCTGGAAAAC